TGAACCCTTCCCTATATATATATATATATATATATATATATATATATATATATACCTACCTGTAACTACATCATCAATGACCATTCATGCTCAAACTCAAAAAGTCTCCTTTTATTGATTCATTCTCCTCTTCTTACTTCTACTTCAACTTACATTGCTCTTCAAAGATTATACATTGCTCCAATTGCATGCACTTTTGATCATATATCACATATATATATATATACACACACACATCATCATCATCATCATCATCCATCTGTTCTTAAAATAGATCAGATGACTGTTTGATCCATCGGATCTATCGGTTATTCTGCAGATTACTTGATTCCGGTATGTTTTATCTCACCATATTTATGATGGTTTCATTGATTTCTGTTCAAGATTTCTAAAAAAATGGTTTCTTGCTGTTGAAATAACCAGGAAAATCTCAAGAATTATGGATGATTTAAGTTGGGAAAGAAACACTTCGTCGTTTCCATGGAGTCATCACCATCATCATCAAGAAATCGAAGAAAGCTTCATTTTTGATTCAGAAAATATCTTCTTGAGCCCGATCCAAAACCTTCAAGATCAAACTGATTCATCCATAAGAGCTGCCGGCGCCGGTGGACATCAAATGGGTTCTCATCAGTTAGCTCCGGCGATGGCGACGGCAATGTTGGATTCCGTGAATGTATCTGGCGGTAGTCAATATTGGTCTCAAAGGTTGGATGTCAATGGCTTCCAAGAGGGTAAAAATGTAATTCCCACCACCACCGCCACCGTCATCTCTCTTGAATCACTGGATTGCTTACTCTCAGCCACGAATAGCACCGGCGATACGTCGGAGAATCATGACAATGGGATTTCTATCATTTTCTCAGATTACAAGAACTTATGTAACAACATTGTTGTCACAAATAATAATTTTAGCGGCGATTCATCCGGCGATTCCGTCACAAAAGAAACCACCGGCGACGACGGCATTGTTTCCAAATGCTCATCGGAAAAAACTCCGACGACGAAAAGAACCAACAATACTACAAACGGGTTTCACGACGACAACGTTAACCCACCAAAACCAAAGAGACCCAGATCAGATCCAACTCGACCCACTTCATCAAACATAAATTTCCGGCAAGCTTCGTCGGAATCGGAGGAACCCGACTCCGAAGCAATTGCCCAGATGAAGGAAATGATCTACAGAGCGGCAGCTTTCCGACCAGTGAGCTTCGCCGATGAGGAAGTGGTGGAGAAGCCAAGAAGGAAGAACGTGAGGATATCTAACGATCCACAGACGGTGGCGGCACGGCAGAGACGAGAAAGAATCAGTGAAAAAATTAGGGTTTTGCAGAAACTTGTTCCCGGCGGAAACAAGATGGATACAGCTTCCATGCTCGACGAAGCTGCAAATTATCTGAAATTCTTGAGATCACAAGTGAAAGCATTAGAACAGGTGGGATGTGGTACAACCACTAATGCAAGAAGTACAACTCAAATCATTGAAACCAATGTGAACCCAAATTATGTAACAGTAGGTGTACCTTTCAACCATAACCCATTTCCCATGCAAACCCATTTTTTACTTCCCCATCACCATCATCATCATCAAAATCTTTACTGTAATACACCTCCAGCATAAGAAGACTTGTACTTGATGCATTAGAAGTTGTACTAAAACCAGTAGGGCAAAAGTTACTGTGTGAATCTTGGCCCAAGCAAGCAAGCTAACCCCAAGAAGAAGAAGATGATGATATGGTGATGATTAGTTCATTATGGATGATGAAAGACTAAACCCTAAAACTTCCATTTTGTTTGTTTAGTTTAATGGGATTTGATCATAATTGTGTCATCATTGTATTTTCTTCAACTCATGATGTTTACTTCATTTGAACTATCATCATCATCATCATCATCATCATCATCATCATCATCATCATCATCATCATCATCATCATCATCATCATCATCATCATCATCATTTGTGTTCTTCTACCCATGCCCAAGCCCAATACAAATTAATATACTATTCTTTTTACCTTTTTTTAATTTAAAACAATATTACTTATGGGTATATATATGTATATGGGGTTAGGTTCACGTGAAACCAATAGTTTTTCACGAGACCCGTAAGACCAATTTATGTTTACTGATCAACTTTATATGCTAATAATCTAATGGTCTAAAGTTGCACGGTGGTAATTTTGTGATTATTGAAAAGTCTCGTGACATTTATAAATGTTCAGATTGTAGATCTAATCCAAGAGTTGAGAATTAGTCTTACGTATCTCACGAAAAACCCTTGGTCTCACATGATCCCAAGTCTATGTATGTGTATATATATATGTATGTATGTGTATATATATGTATATGTATATATATGCGCACACACACACATATATATATATATATATATATACACTTACAAAGAACTTGATGATATGGATTTAGATACACTTTGTGTCTTGTGTAAGGTAACATAATGTGAAATGTTTGCAAATGAAGAATGAAATAAGTTTTTATTAACAAATCTAAAATTTGTAAAGTATTTTATCGTATTACTATAATTACTTAACGTCTATTATGTATATGAATGTGTTTATCAGTTGATTTTATGATATTTAAACGTGTAATACGCCTCAAATGAGAGGTTTGGGAAATTAAGATTTACACATACCTATAATATTTACCGTCAAAAGCAGAGCAATAAGAAATTGTAGGTATATGGTAACAAACTTTAAACTTCAATTTTAATGTATTATACGTCAATTAAAAAAATGCCGTTTTTAGAAGTTCCTTTACCAGTTCTATATTTGTTACAAATTAAGTGTCCACATTTTTATTTGTTATAAGATAGGCCTCCACTTTTAAAATTAAATGTGTATTTTCCTATTTTACCCTTAATTATACGTAGAAATTTTCTCCCTTATTATTAGAAGTAAAAGTGTCGTTTACTAAACTTAAAAAAAGTATAATAATTAAGACTAATTTTAGATTAAAAAAAGACTAACTTTACATTAGAAATATCCATGTCATTAACCACGTCAGCAAATGAGTTGAATACAACATCACTCGTCACATCAGCATGATAACCAGTTAATTCTTCAATCGGTTACCCGTGTACTTAAATGTTTAAAACTTTACATCTTAGGTACCAAAATGAAAGTTTCGAAAGTACGTTACCTAAAACAAGAATCAAGTTAAACACTTTTGAAACTATGTACCGTTTTCGTTGTTGTTATTTATTTTGGGATAAAAAGAGTATTATTTTACAATATATTTATAAATAAATAAATATTATTATTGAAGTGAAATTCCTTTTTATAATTAGATAATTATGAGACTTTGAATTAATTGTATTTCTTTATATAACCTTTTAAAAGAAATGATTGTAGTAGAAAGGAGGCCAGATTTTATTTATTTAAATAATTAATTAACTATTTATTTATTTATTAAATTAATTAAAGGGAATGAGGGTTGGGGTGTGTTATGCACATATGAATGGGGCCGTGAGCCCTTAGTCAGTGCCAGTGGTCCTGTCTCCCTGATCCAACCAAAGCCTAAGGCGTGCCCCTCGATTACACCATTCCCCCCCTATTGCTTACCACATGCTTTCTTAATTTCCACTTTAATAATTTTTTTTAAATATATATTATTTATATACGATAAATAAAACAAGTAAATTCACATACCTTTTTTTACCTTCAATGAGGTTTGAATCATTGACTTTCTAGGAGGCCAATGACTCACATACCGCTAAATCAAAAGTCCTTTGACCCCTTTAATAATTTATTGGTGGGTTCGAATTCAGATGTTGTCAAAATTCTTGTGATCGTGAAGGTTCATTTGTGATGATTTCAGGTCGTTTTTGTCGTTCGAAGTGTGCATAAGAGCATCTCTGATTCAAGATTCTTATAAGAACTAATATTGTAGAGAGTTTTTATAAGAACTTCATCATCTTTGAGTTCTTGTATAAGAATCTTGGTTATTTTCTTGAAATTTGTGTGAAATGTAAAGTGACGCTTTGTTAGGTTTTCTTTAATATTTTTTCTTGACTTTTAGAGCATCTCTAATGCAAGGTTTTTTTTTTTTTTTTTTTTTCTGATACACAAATTTAATCATATATGATTAAACATATGTAGAGTTGACAACACATAGATGCTTAATCATATATGATTAAACACACTAAAAAAAGTGTAATCACATATGATATTGAAACTTTTCGTCTTCTTGTATGATCTTCCTCTCTCAAAACTTTTAGAGCATATGCAACAACAACTTCTTCAAAAAAGGAAAAATGGAGAAAATGAGGATTTTGATCATGTATTTTACTCCAACAGCTTCCCTAAAACTACCTAAAAAAAAGGTGGTGTCTAATTGGTTTGAGCTTGAGTTCCAAATGTCAAGAATACCTGGAGGTCTCGTGTTCAAATCCATGGAGGAATAAAAATCCCTTTGTGGTCACGGATGTTCAAATGCGATGACTCCAAACTACCCGCAAAACAGATGATCGTCCTGAGATTAGTCGATTCGCTTAGCGATCACCCTAGAAAGAATTACTAAAAAGTGAGAGTATCACCCCAGAAAGAATTACTAAAAAGTGAGAGTATTAATATAAAATAAATATTTAGAGAAAGAAATAATATTATAATTGATGTTGGATTTTTTAAAATAAAAAATTTATTAAAATTAAATATATATTTTTTTTAAAATTTTAATTTTTTTTAAAAAATCTATTAAAGAGGCTGGTTTCTTGCAGATTTTGATCTCATATTTGATGATTGACATTGACGATGGAATTTGAGTTGCAAACACACTTCCATGATTGACGTGCCAGTTTATGATTGGATGAAAATAGACCGTTCGGGTTTTCGTGGTTACGGTTTCTCTACCATTTTTAGAAACTTATGATGTGAATATCATGGTAATTTGGTTCTTTTAAACTTTCGTTTTAATTGTTTATAAAAGATATAAAATAAAAATATTATAAAGATTAAAAGATCATAAGATTGCGTATATTGAAACATTAACCGGTTATCATGCTAATATGGCGAGTGACGAGATGAAATTGGGTGAATAGCAAATAATATTGAGTTGGATACCACATCACCACCACATCAGCATGGTAACTGATTAATGCTTCAACCGATTACCCGAGTACCTAAATGTTTAAAACTTTACATCTTAGGTACCAAAAATGAAAGCTTTGAAAGTAGTTTATCCAAAATATGAATCAAGCTAAAAGTACGTTACTTTTTCATGCAATTTGCTCTTTTCAAAAAAGCAAACATTACTAGCTCTTATTAACGTGGTCAGGTAAGGTTGGCGCACGCAATTAGACTTCGTTGTTGGGTTTTTGTTTGTTTGTATAAATCAGGTAATATACTACGTTAACATGACAAGTTCTCTATCTGAAAGCATCAAAAATATGCATGACAAGTTATGCAGAAAAGATATCAACATGGTATGCGTGATCTCGAGTCTGTTTATATTTACTTGGCCAAAATAGAGATGTACATTTTGCAATGACGTAAAGAACTGTTGGGAATTGTTGACCAGTATAAATGATAATGATAATGCATGTTGCATCATTAGCTATAATGTTAAACAGCCAGATTAGGCATATTCAGTAAAATGTGATGTATTTCGATGTCTATATCTAGACAATATAAAATCAAATAAACACTCTGGTTTTTTAACATCTGGATTTTTTTCTTGATCATGATGAGTGAACTAAGAGATGAAATTATACCTGTGTTCTTCATTGCTTAATAAACCGTTAGCACTGATCCTTTTTGTTTAACGGAGATGCATACTCTCAATTACGAATGAGTATCGAATGCAGAATCCTTGATTCACCAACTTGATTAATTACTTCAATTTTCCGGAACCCACATCGAGACATGTTTGATCTGTTATTTGATGTTCTTTAACAGTGGAACATATACCTATTTTTACATTGTTCGAGTGCATATTCTTCTTTCTGCTGTAATCAAAAGTGAATTCAACCACAATGGTGGTGTCTGATTGGTTTGAGTTTGGCTCCAAAGGTCAAAAGTACCAGGAGGTCTCAGGTTCAAATCCAATGAGGAATAAAAATCCCTTTGTGGCCACGGAGGTTCAAATACGGTGACTCCGGGCTATTGCAAAGCAGGTGGTTGCCTTGGGATTTGTCGGCTAGCATAGCGAGTTGGATATCCAGGTTAATAAAAAAAAGTGAATTCCGTTATACATATATATAGGGTTGGGTTCACGTGAGAACAAAGGTTTTTCGTGAGACCCGTAAGACCAATTTATGTTCATTGATCAACTTTATAAGTTAAAGATCTAATGGTCTAAATTGCACGGTGGCAATTTTGTAATTATTGAGAAGTCTCATGGCATTTGTGAATGTTCAGATCTGACGATTGTAGATCTAATCCAAGGGTTGATAATTGGTCTTACGAGTCTCATGAAAAAGTCTTGGTCTCACATGATCCCAAGTCTCTATCTCTCTCTCTCTCTCTCTCTCTCTATATATATATATATATATATACACACACACACATATATAATCACTTTGTAAAAAAAATGTAATCATTTATTCGATTTCAGCATATACTATTTAAATTAATTCAGATTTATGTCAACAAAATTCAATGTTGATTTAGATTCGACTTCTTTATCATTGATTTAGCAACATAATATATATATATATATATATAATATTGACGATGTACTGTTTAGTTAGTTTTCTATCAGGTCATGTATAAATAAAGTTATCATAGATTAGTTTATCATTA